GGTAGTTGTGTATACAGGTCATTTTATATGCATTGGGACTGCCCAAAGTCGGTAAATACGGGAAGGCCTTCAGTTAGTTCGTTCCCGGCAGGTTTAACTGTACACAAATATTACACACCATATAAGGTCACAAACGCAGGTTTACCGTGTACTCTGGAATACATCAAACAATCACGTGGCTATTTTTTAAAAGTGATTATCTGTTGATAACCGATTGTTTGAATTGAATAAAACTTCGAACACAAACTGGAATACTGTGGATCTATGACCAAATATCCTTTAATTTAAAAATACATGTTTTGTTCAAATTTTAGCAATATTTTACAGTGATTCAAAACTGCAATATATTATGCGGCGCATGCATCGCGACAAGAATATGCAATATCAAGTTGTAGTATATCGATGGATGGAAATTGACTAATATTTTAATATGCTAGACAAAAATCTACAAGTCTACAGAAACTTCATCAAATAGGTATATTGTCACGTCACGTTTCCATGGCATCGTCTAAATTCAACGTCAGGATTCTGTTGGATAAGAATTGTCGTGAAATGTATAAAATGTTTTGTTTTTTTTTCAGGTAATACAAAATGGAAAAGAAACTTTTTACATATGTGTTTTACGTTATACATTAGTTCACGCAACTGATAGATACAGCATATGTATGTTTTATTATTTGTTTTTTCACCACCAGAATTTCGCGCCTAAAATTTGTCTGCACTTCTTTTATATTCCTAGAAATGATCCCTAATTTTGAATCAAACAGACAAAATTTGAATCAATTTTCTGCTTTTACTTGAAAAAATTGGCTATTTTTGTTCCAATCCTCTGAAGGAAAATGCAGACTATAAACGGGACTATTTTGTGAATTTGTGATGAAAAGAAGATACTGGTGGTAACAAGGTTAAGTTTCAAGCTATATTTAGGACCGTCCCGGTGGTTCAGAAATTGTGGGTGGAACTTTAACTACGCTACATGTTCTCCAGTGAGAGCATACAATGTAACGACAAACAAATCAACAGGTGTTTCTTCTGTAGAAATAATTACAATGAAACCTTGTTATATATGTGCATGTCCAAGCAAGTTCATCGAGCCTTACACACTTAGACACGCCGTTGCTAAAACATCGCTTGGTCGTACAACAATTCGCGCATGCGTAATTACGTATACGTATTTTTTGCAACTGGGGAAACATGTTTAGAGAGTTGCTAAGACGACGTGCACCTGTCTCGCAATTAAAGATAAAAAACACTTAGAATAGGACAAAAATGATTAAAAATCGCCAATTCCGGAAAGAGGTACTTTCCGTTTTCTTCTAAAGGGAGGGATTACATGCTTACTTGAACGTTGAAGCAGGTGCGACCAGTCAAAACCTTTAAACCAATGATACTCACAGTACCGTATCGGCGTCTGCGTGTGCTCTGTTTGCTCCTTATAGTTAGCGTCCACGTGGCCTGTTCATCATCTAAGATTTTAAGTGTATTTTAACGACACGCCGTTGAACTGTGGTAATTTTAGTCGTTTTTGTCACCGCTTTATATCAGATTTCTCAAAATTAGCATTCTTGGTGTAAAATATTGAAAACGGTTATTTTTTTATTTCAACTTTTCTTCTGCTAGTGCGTGTTTTCGACTGTTGGTGTACATGTCATGGAATTGGTTAGACTGGAAACAACGAGCAGTTCATTTCTCAATACATGTGTTCCTTTCAGTGCGAGAATTTAAGCGATCAGATAAAACCGATACATTATCAATTCAGTTTAGGAACGTTGCTATGTTAACTATATTGTGAATAACGATAACCACTCGATGTAGCGATCACGGATCCGCTTAGTAAGTTTACACAACCTTCGGGTAACATATTTATAAAAAAATGTAGCCATCGTTCGATTGGTATTAACAAATGAACGCTATTGTGTTTCAACTTCTATTTCATCGACAGTTGGAAACAGAGAATACGTCGCCATACTCTACTTAATGAGAATTTCAACGGAATAAAAAATTTAAATATTAAAACCGGTTACAAAGGAAAGAATGATTTATCACCATGTTTATTGTACTAGGGAATACAAGGAACAGGAAAACATGACAAATATTTGTTTCCACGCTTCAGTTTGTTAGATTCAAACATACGTTGTTCCACGTCATTTAAGACAAGTCTCCCCCAAAATGACGTAATTATTATTCGAGTACGCGATAACACGTGACTGCATCTACTCCGCGTAATGTACATATGATAGCAATATTGCATTCATAATACATGTATTTATTTTTATTATTTACTCGTGAAAAGAAAAAAAAACTAGTTCGAACTAATCACTGGGTTTACACATGTTATACTAAGTGATGTCTAATGTTTAAAACTGATACCGTGGCAACCGAATCCTGGGTGTTATAGGTACGATCTGATTTACGTTAGTAATATTTAAT